TTTTAGCTAATTCTTTAAAACCATGACAAGGGGGAAATAAGGAGGAAGGGGAGGACATTTGGAGTGATGGCCTTTGTCCTCGCTGTTGTGTGTGATGCAGCCCTGCTGTCCCAGGGATGGCTGAGCCCCTGCCTGCCACGGGAAGTGTGGAATGAATTCCTTGTTCTGCTTTGCTTGCATGTGTGGCTTTTGCTTTAATTATTAATCTGTCTTTTCTCAGCCTGTGAGTTTTCTCACTTTTACCCCTCTGGTTCTCTCTCTGGTTCTCTGTGGGGCCGAGCTGCTGGGGCTGGGGTTAAACCAGCACAACTGGGAAGGAGCCACATCTGGAATCTGTGCTGGCACCTGGAATCTCCAAGTGCGACCACGAGAGCAGCACGTGACCCCCAGACTGTCCATAGGAGCCTCCAGTGGCACCAATTTCATCGTTAAATGTTTGCATGTTTCCAATTAAAAGTGAGCCCAGGAGACTCTGCAAGCCTGGGATGGGCCATGGATGTGTCCAGTGCTCCCCTCCAGCACTGCCTGCTGGGCCAGGGAAGCGCCGGCTGTGCAAGAGTTAAGGGCTGGGAATTAATTAACATCTTCCATCTTCATCTGATCTCAGGTGGATACTTAATGTTTTTGTCTGCGGAGGTTTATTTTCCTGCAGATTGATTGGATGAATTGTGTTCCCAGAGATCAGAGAGTTCAGATGGCAGAGGATCCTCTTACCAGAAGATGAAAGCCAACATAATCAACTGCACAACTTCAAAACATGCAGCTTGTTCTTGTTGGCTGTGCCTAAGTTTTCCCTGCAGAGAAGCTGTCGACAACGATTTGATATCAATCCAGTAACAATCCCTGGTTTCTAATAATAATTTGCACTTCAGTAGAAATGTTCATGTGAGGCTCTGAGAGCATTTAGCAGATGGTCATTAGTGAAGCTCCCCAGTTCTCCTGCGAGGAAGAGATAACAATTATGAGCCTTGTTTTACAGATGGTGACACTGAGGTGAGGCACTGAAAGGTGAAATAACTCTCCTAATTTTCTGTAATGAGCCAGTGGCAACAAATCCATGAATGAAACCCAGGCATCCTGCTGAGATTACTCCACAAGCCTTATATCCTTATCTTTCACAGGAAAACACGGTCAAAGGGGTGAGCCTGGAAAGCAGAAAGCAAATGATTCAATGGCAGGATTCATGACACATTTCTGGAAATAAGAAATTAGGTCTGGGTCAATAAATAACTGGGAAACCAGGGGGACACAATCCAAGAGGCATGTAAAATGAGGATGGATGGAAAAGAAAGAAGATAATGGAAGGGAGGGGAAGGAAAACAGAGCAGCTCTGACTTTTTATTTCCACTCTTGGTTTCAATCAGCCTTGTAAAATTAAAAGTTAGGCTCTGAGAGAAAGGAGAAAGCTCCTTCTGCTCCCGTGGGGATACATCCAATGGGTGAGGCTTCAAACGGGAACTGCTGATAACAAAACACTCCCGAGTGCCAGCTGTGGGGACACTGCTTGTGTTTGGGTACCTCAGAGACCCTGGGGAGGGCAGGGAGGCAGGGCTGGAGCTCTGGGAACACCGGCTGGAGCTCTGGGAGCAGCAGCTGGAGCTCTGGGAGCACTGGCTGGAGCTCTGGAATAGCGGCTGGAGCTCTGGAATAGCGGCTGGAGCTCTGGAATAGCGGCTGGAGCTCTGGGAACAGCGGCTGGAGCTCTGGGAGCACTGGCTGGAGCTCTGGGAGCACCAGCTGGAGCTCTGGGAGCACTGGCTGCAGCTCTGGGAGCACCGGCTGGGCCCCATGGCATCACCCACCAAACCACGGTGGTGCTGGCGAGGCTGGAGAGCGCTGCAGGCTGGAGGTGCGAGGGCTGGAGGTGCGAGGGCTGGAGCTCTGGGGCTAATTTTAGCTTGCACTTGCAGTGCCTTTGCCTTTCTCACCCAGCAGAGCTGCCCTGCCAGCGCTGAGGGACTGGCTGGTGCCCCGAGCCGCCCCGCGCACACGCCGAGGGGAACGCCGCCCGCCTGCGCCGTTTATAAAACGGCCAAGTGGAAGCCAAAAGACTTGAGTCTAATCCCTCCAGTTAAGTCATCTAGATTCCTTCTCGCCACCAGCCATCTGATCTCAATCAGCAAATCTTGGCCCTCCTCTCCTGACCCAGCAGTCGCGGTGCTGAGGCCTGAAGTAATCTGCATGCGAAATGCTTTAGTAATGATTCCTCCAGGAGGGGCTGCCTCGATTGTTATTTCCCAAACGCCCTCCAATATGAAAGGGGTAGGCAGACAACAAAGGTGCCTCGGTAATGTTTGCCATCAATAATTTGTCAGTGTTCTGAAAGGTTCCTCCATTTATTTTCAGTCCCTGTGGTTAGTAGAAGCCTATTGAAAGACACCTATTTATATGCAAGCCTTAAAAGTAATCACTGGGTATTAAATGGGATGTGCTTTTAGTCTGAAGGTGCTTCCAATTGTCTGTTAGTGGGATTCAGCAAGTAAATGAAACAGAATTAAACATCTGTGTCTTTAACATCAATAAACTGCATCACCTCTAGGTGCAGTGCATGCTTCAAAAACGCTGCAGGATCTTTGTAGATTTATAAGCTCACAGAATGGTTTGGGTGGGAGGGACCTTAAAGATTATCCAGTGCAGGGACACCTTCCCCTGTCCCAGGCTGCTCCAAGCCCTGTCCAGCCTGGCCTTGGGCACTGCCAGGGATCCAGGGGCAGCCCCAGCTGTGCCTCCCCACCCTCAAACAGTTCCTTCCCAATCTGACCCTACTCTGAGCCTGAGGCCATTCCCACCTGTCTAATCACGATTACATTGATTTCACCATCGCTCCAAGCACCTCCAGCACCAGAGAGCCAGACCTGGGACCAAAAGTGTGAAAATCTGGGAGAGCAGCAGTGATGTCTGATGGGCAAGATCTTGACAGGAAATCCTTGGAGAACCTCACCCATGAACACACCCATGGGTGCTCCTGTTGCAGGTGCCCCTCAGGGACACGAGAGCTTGCTGGAAGCTGCTCAAAGGCAGCTGGTTGCTGTGAGAACTGGGATATTGGGATGGGGATTCTGGAATGCTTGGCTGGCGTATTTCCACTCTGGAAGCCAGCATTACTGCCCTTACAAGAGGGCTCCCAAAGGAGAGGAGAAAAGAGAAGATGAAGAAGGGCAGTTCAGTTCAGCCCCAGGGACCCCAACTTCCCCTCTTCCTCACACCTCAACCTTCCCCGTTCCTTTCCTCACTTCCCTGTGGTGTTAGTTGGGATAACGCAGGAATCACCTCACAATTTCATACATGGAGCAGGCAGGGGAGGCAGAGGAAACAGGATCTGTCATTTTCAACCCAGATAATTGCATTACAAAGCTCAGCACGGTTTTCATTATTCTGCCGTGTTCAATCAAGCCCCATCCCAAAGGTGCACACGGATTTCAGACTATTCCAGGCCCTGGCAGCTGCTTCGCTGTACTTGCTCCTTTTAATTTTTATTTTTTTTTCATCTTGGGGCTTTTAAAATTGATGGGAGGCTGAAGGCAAGAGCTGATGCATTGTAGATGACAACAAAAGAGGCTCCATAAAATTGCTTTTGGCATCTCGTGTGCGTTCCGTCTACATCTTATAAATTACTGCTGCATTACAGCGATAAAAATAGGTTAGTATTTGGAATTGATTACAGAGAGATAAAGCCCTAATAAAAAAAAAAAAAGCACTGATGCATAAATATTCGGAGCATACAAGGGTAATTTGATTTGATAAAATAAAAGTATGGCTCTTAATTTCTTCCTTTTAAACAGAACACACATGCACATGCAGCACAGGGAGAACTTCAGCAGCTGTTCAGGATTCGCAGAAATGGGTCTGTGCCTCTTGCAACTCTTCCCTTCAGACATTTTTATGGCAATCTCTGCATCACCAGCATTCCCACTGCTGGGTAATATTCCTGCTGCAATCCCAAAGCATTCAGCCCAGGCCTCTGTGCTTCTTCCAGGTGATAAACACTGATTTTCCTCACACCACAACTTCTCCCGTTCTCTCCCTCGCTTCCATGTGGCATTAGTTGTGACAGTGCAGGAATTACTTCCCAATTTCATCTATGAAACAGGCAGGGGAGGCAGAGGGAACAGGATCTGCCATCTCACCAACCCAAATAACTGCATGACAAAGCTCACGGTGTGAAACCTGCGTCCCTCAGAGCTGTTTTATTAAGCAGGCTGTTTCTCTGGAGCTCACTGTGCAGCACGTCAGCTCTGCAGCCATCTCACCTTCACTGGGACTGCAGGATCAGCAGAGGGAGCTGGGATATTGTTTTCTACACTTCTAACATAAATGGAAGGATAATTTTATTTACACGAGGAGGAGGGAAGCAGCGATTCACGTTTCAGCACGACCAGCCCAGCACACTTTACTCCAGCGAAGCGCTTTGGCTCAGACAATAATTCAGGGTGAACACTGGCCTTGCAGCAGGACAAAGGCACGGCCTGAGAGTCACCCTTTAAAGAAAGGCAGGTGACAGTGATGGGGCTGGCAGGGGAACCCGGGATGCAGGACCTGGGCAACCAGCAAAGCCCCACATCTGTTCTGCAGCCCAGCAGCTGCACCCAACCCCTTGGGCCACATCCCCGCGAGGTGCTGGGCTCTGACCCAGCCCAGGACCCGGAGCTGGCCATGGGACTGTGTCCCCTTGGACCCTGCAAGAGCTGTTTTTTGGGAGGGCTGGGGGCAGGAAGCCGCTGCTGCCGTCCCTCCGGGCCGTGCCTTTGATGTGGGCTGGACGGGATGTGGCTGCGCCTGCTCCCGCCAGCCCGAGCAGGGAAAGGGAAACCAGCGGCAGCAGGGCTGACAATTATCCCTGTCGAGCAGCTTGAGCATTCCTGGGCTTTCAGTAATGTACCAAAAGCTGTTGGGAGTAAGATGATCCCCAAAAACCTCCCATAGGAACGGCAAAAGCAGCCCAAAGCGTGCCCCGACACAACCGGTAGCACTGAGGGAAACGCAGGTAGGCCGAGAGAATGTTACTTTTAAATTTCATTTATTTATCTTTGTGTACATTTTCCGTAATTCGACTGACATACCATTGCTATAAAGATGCCCTGCTCTTTGAATATTTCCATCCAAGACCACTAGTTTCAAGTGTGGTTATGAAAAGTCACGGCAAACATATGACTGGAAAGAGGTGGTTGGTTTTTGACTTCCAGGCAGTTGTTTGAAGCATTTCAGAGATGCACACGATATTCAGCAGAACACACGCACGCACAGTGCTGGCTTACACACACACACACGCACACACACATCTGGAAAACTGTTACAGTGGTTGAAGTCTCCAAAAAGGTGTACTGTCCCCTCTCAGCAGCAGTGAAAAACCTCTGGGTATCCTGAGAAATCAAATCAAAGCACAGTAAAGAGGAGTAACTTATCCCATCAGCAGGGTTTGGGGGTGTTTTCTTTTCAAGTCAAATGTGTTTTGCCAATCTGTATGAAGTGAAGAGGGTGGGGAGAAAGAATCTGTGGCAGTGAAGGTTAAATAATACCAGTTCAGCATGGATCCTAAAAGCATCTCTTTAAAACAACATGGAGTAAAAGCCCCTCAAACGTTACACACACGGCCCTACTGTCCCTCTGCTGCTCCTGCTCATCTCCAGAGCACGAGGAACAGCACTGAGATGGGTGAAGACAACACAGGAGGTGTTGCAGGTGGAGGGGATGTGCAGGTGGGCAGCCAGGTGAGCTCGGCAGTCTCTGACTGATGAAGTGTCTGCACCTGGCTGGGCGCCGGAGCTGGAGCGTCCAAACCCTGGGCAAAGCCCACAGGCACTGACCAGCACCCAGTGCTGCCTCACACTCACTCCAGCACCTCTTTCCTTTTCAGTGACACCCTCTGAGCTGCCCTGTCTGGCCAACCCACCCTCCCCAAGGCTGGGACTCGGGGTGCTGCTGCCTCAGGGCGCGGCAGGTTGGATTCTCACATGGAAAGAGTTCCCTCGACAAGGCTAAAAATTGAAAATCCCCCACTCTCCACTGCCTTTAACCCAACAGCACCTTGGCCTCTGCTGCACTGCCTGCACCCCAGGGCTCTCCTGAGGAGCTGGAGCTGCCCCGTGCCCTGGCTCGGAGCGGGGTTGTGCGAGGTGACGGGCGGCGCGCAGCCCTGCAGAGGAAACCAGCAAAGCCTGACACAACACAAACAAACACCAAGCAATTAAAAGAAGGATGGGAGATGTGGTCTGATGTACTTCTGCCAAGAAATAAATATTTTACGCTGCCTTTTTATTTATTTTTTTTTTTTTTTTAAAAGCACTTGCATTGTGTTTTTTTTTTAAATCTCAAAATGGCTGAGTTACTCCCTGCACCTCCCCAAGCACAACACGTGCTCACACACACACACACGCACACACCTCTCACACCCTCCAATGCACACAATTCCAGCTCTGTAGAGCTACTGGATTTACTTAGAGACAAGTTTCTTGTGCATTTGGACAATTTACTTTGAGACAAGTTATTTGCAAGAAGGCAAAGTTCATGCATGGCTTTGACAGCTCCACTTTCTCATAAATGGTTTTTGAAAAGCAGAAAGCAAATGAGGGCCAAAGCTCCATTTAAAGTTCACCTCGGATGCCTGAAAAGCATTTATACCCACATCCTTCTGAGGTCCCTGCTTTATGAACTTCTAATCAATTCCACATTCTGCTACCCAGCGTTTCTTATACGCTGGGGAAAGAAAACAAACCAGAAAAGTGGTGTGAGCTGTCTGAAAACAGCTGCACCACAGCACCCAGGCTGCCCAGGGAAGGGCTTGAGTCACCCTCCCTGGAAGGGCTGAAAATGTGTGCATGTGGCACTCGGGGACACGGGTTAGTGGTGGCCTTGGCAGCGCTGAGTTTTTGGTTGGACTCGATGATTTTAAAGGTTTTTCCACCCTCCGTGACTCTGTGGTTCTCTGGTTCTGTTACTCTTTATCAGAAAGGCTGGGGAGGCTTCTGAAGCACCTTTCCAAGGGCAGAAAGGGAATAAAAAGAACAAAACCTGATGGGTTTTGAGCCCCAAAGCCCTGATTCTCTCCCACACTTGAGGGATTCCCCTCAGCATCCCCCAGAGCTCGTGAATTGCTCCGTTATTTCTGCAGGACAGGTGTCCTCCAGCCCCAGAGGTGACACTTGGCTGTCCCCAGCCCTGCCTTGGCCAGTCCTCACCACCCAGGGCTCCAGCAAACTCCAGGTTTGACAGAGAAAAGCCTGGCACGAGCCTGGGACGAACCAAATTTGTCACCAACCAGATTTGAATTTTCAGGTGGAAAGTGGCTGTTTTCTCAGAGTTCAGCTGATTTTATTGATTGATTTAATCGATTTTAATGATTTGACAGAGCATTCTACCAGCTAAACTGAACCCTGGTGCTACTCAATCCCCTCTCAAAGGAACAACTGAAACCCACCTCGTGCTTCCCTACTAAAAACCTAAAAGTGAGCAGGTTTCTTCAGAAGCCCCCAAAACTCAAAAAAAAAAAATTAGAATATTTTAAAACAAGATTCCTTATCCCCATCCCTAATTCTAATGCAAACCGAGACACTAAAAAACAAAAAAATAATAATCTAAGTTGCTATAAATATAATTTAAAATCATAATTAGCTGTCTACTGCCATCCCAGCTGTTAGGAGCTACCACAGGGATCCCACATGGCTCGAGGGCAGGCTGGGAGATATCTTCAGCACCTCTTGGATAGTACCAGAAAGGGATAAATAATAAATAAGAATATGAGAAAGAATAATCAGCTTTCCACGGGGATGGAAAAGCAGAGACTTTCCCAGTTAAGAAACCAAGTGATGTTGCTGTAAAAAAAAAACCCTAAAAATGAAGTAAAATAAGGACTTGCATTACAGCAGGTTGAAAAGTCTTCTCCTTCCTAACATGTCCATGTGCCCTCTTCAACACCAGAGAACACTGGGATCTCGGTGCTTTTCCATTTTTTTGAGGTGTTTGGGGTTTTTTTTTTTCCCTAGCCAGAATTATTTAGAAATATCCTTATTACAGATTTCCCACCATCTTGAGAAAAAGCAGATTTCACACCTTAAGACAGAAAGTCTAAAAATCCCATCTATTGATGGGATTTCTGAACGTGGATCTTTGCCAATAAAACTGTAATTCCTTAAATTGAAGATTTTGGACAATTTTGGAGAGTTGTTTCGTTTTGTTTTGTTTTTTCTCTACAAGAAATGACAAATTTTACTCCAACACATTTCCAGCTTACAAGGAGCTACATTTAGCAGCTTCCCCTTGTTGTATTCCTATTTAAAAAATGCAGAATTCCAGCTATTTTGGATGTTGTGATGATTTCCAGCAGCCCCTGGCACAGGGACAGCTCTCACCAAGCACAAACCACTCCATTCACCAAAATAAAAACAGCAGCCGAGCCCTGGAAATTCACTTTACACATGGATTTTAAAGGGAATATTCAGAGCCAAATCCTGGGTTGGGGAATATTGGATTTTGAGCCCCAAATCTGCCAGAAGCCCCCCAGAAGGCACAGTCCACGCTGTAGGTGTTTATGCAGGATTTGTGATGAAATTTGGGCTAAATGTGGATGGAGAGCTCTGCAGCTGTACCTGGATTTGGGAATATTTGATCCTGGCTCAGCAGCTCTGACAGAGACTGGGATTTATCTTTAAACACACCTTTTCTTGGCTTTTATCAGGCACCAAAGCCACATTTCTTCACCCTGCCTGTGCAAATCAAGGACAGCTGGCCCTTCCTGACTTTTCACAGTATCCGTCCTGAAAAGAAAAACCAATATAAAAATGCTGAAGGCTTTTGGGTGTTCTGGGACACTCTGAGATGGCTGAATGCTCTCTCCTAAAGGGAAAAATCCCAAGAAATGGCAGAATCCAACACCTCCATCCCACAATTCCTGTGTCTGTGTGAGTTTTTGGAGGCCACAGATAGTCCAGGCTGCTGTTGCAGCCTCCAGACATTGGCCCCTCTCACTGGAGCATTTATCTCCATCCATCTCCTGGAATGGTTTGGTGTGTCAGGTCACAGCCTTTTGGAAAGATCCTGGTCTGCTCTTTTTATTTCCTCAAAAACAATCATTATCTAGGGGCAAAACCAGACTGAATTAAAGCCTGATCTGGCCTGAATTATTCCTGGAAGATAAACCAAGCAGCAGCTTTCCTGATCAGCTCAGGAATACCCGGGGTGTGTTTAGTCTTTATTCAAAAATTACACCGCTCCGAGTTTCCTGGATTTAGCTAAGCCCAAAAGTGAAAGTAACAGATCAAAATACCCTGAAATAAAACTTCTAGGAAAGGATTTCAGGTCTGGCTAAAACCAGATAGCTTTGGAAATCGCCGAAAGACGTCTGATCTTTTGAGATTTCCATCTCTACTTCCAGCGCGCTTCAGGCGCTTCCAAGCTTTTCCCGGCTTGTCCCCGCAGAACCTCGCGGCCGCTGGACGCTCGCCCCGGCCTCTAAAAACCAGGAGCCTCTCGAGGAAGGGCTTGTGGCCCATCCTGGCTGCTGAGGCGCCTCAGAGCGGGGCTGCTGCAGCTCCAGAGCTGCCCAGCGTTCCCAAAGGGAGTTCTAGCGGAATGGCAGCAAACCTGACAAGCTCCCGCTGGGGCTGAGCCCTGCAGGGTGGCTGCTTGGCCAGCTCCCAGCTGTGGGATCAGGGAGAGGGAACTGGAGAGGACAGGCAGCTCCTTCTCCACTCCATGGACAGCTGAGGCCCCTTCCCGCTGGGGCCGGTGAAATCCCAGACATGGGAACAGAAAGATGAAGGTGCCTCTCCCTGTCAGGTGTCCAGGGAGGCCAAGAGCTCTCCAGCATCCCAGGGATGCTCTGAGGGAGCCACACCACAACCATCCTGCAGCCCCAGCTGCTCCCTGGTGAACTCCCTCCTCCTGGTGGCCTGAAAATTGGGTAATTACAGCATGAAGCTGCTTAGAGACCTGAAAAGTTTCCCCTCTTCTCTCTCAGCTACAGAGGTCTCTCCCAGGCTTTTCCCGTCCTTTCAGGCCATGCAGCAGCAGCGTGCCCTGGGCCACTTGCAGGTTTTTCCCTGTGGAAAAATATTTTCCTTTTTGGTTTTAGATTTTGCTCCCTGGATTTGGATTCAGATTCCCAGTGGCAACCTGGGACCCACTGCCCATCAATCTGGGCCTGAAGGAAGATGTGGGGAGGGAAGGGGCAGCCAGGCTGCTCTCAGGCTGTGCCCTCGATGGACCTGTGGCTGTGTCCTGCCTCTCCTGCTGCTCCAGACCCTCCCTGGCAGAGTGCACTGACACCAGCTGCCCATCACAGGACTCATTTTGTTTTAATTGCCATTAAACCCACCCTTAAAGTTCACTGCACTCTCAGAGTCCCTTTCATTTCTACAGCAATGGACCTTTGTGCCTGGAGCACTTGGCTCCACCAGAGCTCCTGGCTGTGTTTATTCATCTGCAAACACCTCAAAACTGAGATGCAGCTTTTTCTGCCCCCATTCATTAACAAAAGCCACTGTTTTTATGGAGTGGGGTTATGTGAAGGAGCAGAGTCCTTTCAGCCTCCAACAGAGCTGCCACTCCTCCAGGGCGAATCTCCCAGCTCTGCAGAGCACAGGGCAAATTTGACATTCTCCATCTGCTCCAGCAAAGGCTGAGCTGAAATATTAATGAGGAGATCTGATCCCTTCTCACCAGAAACAATCTGGGTTTTACAGCCCAGGCAGAGGCCAGAGGAGCAGGCGAAGCTCTGGGATCCATCCTCTGCTGCTGGTTAAGGGCTTTCAAGGAATAAAGGAACCTGGAGGGAAGACACAGAGTGTAAAACATGTGGACATCTGGTGTGTTCTGTGTGTTCTGTCCAGCCTTCATCTCCCCAGGCTCAGCACCCTCCTCTGTGCACGTCCAGAGCAGAGAGAGGCTCTAACAGCAACAACCATAACATGGCAATAAAGATTAATGAGCAAAACTTGCCATTTTATGTCTAATCCCTGGGGATTTACCATCATTAATCTTTATTAGTGTGTAGTAACTGTTTAGACAGTTAAAATCTAAGGACAGATTCTCAGCTGGACAAAACTGGCCTTGTTCCAGCCAAGCCAATGGAGCAGTGCCAGTTTACACCCTCCATGAGCCCAGCTCGACATGAGACCCATCCCATCTGTAGGAATCACACCACTGACAGTATTTCCCCAACAGCAGGGGCACACAAGTGAAGGCAACTATTTGTCTTTCCCTGTATCCCAAAAAAGAGAGCTGCATGTGTCCAGGAAGCTCAACAATAGACATGTCAATAAACACGAGGAAATTCAATGAAAAAGCAACAGCAACAAAAGGAACCCCAAGGAGCAGGGAAATGGATGGTTTTAGAGGCAGGACTACAAGAACTGGTTTGGCAGGAGCATAACTACGTGGGATCTTTGGCATGTGAAAGAGTGAAAGCACCAAGACGGGCTCCCAGGGTTCCTCTAACAGGAACAAGATGGAAGGGGAAATAAAAAAAAAAGGAGCATCTTGGCTGGTTTTTCTGAGAGAGGAGTTTGGGGGTTGTTTTGAATAAAACAGATTTATTAAACACGGGAGCTTGGTGGGAACCTTGTCTGAACCACACCAGAGCAGCCACTGAAGCAATGCTGTGTTGATCAAGCAGGATTTCCTCTTCCAGAACATGCAGGGAAGAAGGGAAACGTGCAGGTACACCCCTGGCTGGCAGCAGGCATGGAGAAATCCCTGCTGAGCCTTCCCAGCAGAAAAAGGTGCAGCAGCACCTGCTCAGCTACAGGGAGATGAATTGAGATTTTTTTTTAGAGATTTTTCCAAGTAGGGACCCACCAACTGCCTCCAGAAATGAAGTTTTAACTTTTTTTAACTTTAACAAGTCAGAGTTGCCTCTTTGTCACCAGTAAACTCAACAAAAGCCAGGGGAAACCAGAGAAATACAGTACAGAGATACCTGTGTCAAGGTCTGTGCACCTGGAAGAACTCCAGGGAAGATGGGCATTGCACCCAGTGCAGCAGCATGAACCTGGGGTTTCAAACAGTAACCAGAAAATGCCCTCCAACTACTCTGCCAGATTTAAGGGTGCAAAGGGCTCTTGGAGACCCAAAAAACACCTTTCCTGCCAGTGACACTTCAGAGCTCCAGCAGTGGCAAGGCCTGCAGCACTCTGGAGATTGCAGGAGGTGGGAAGAGGAGGACGGACACACACCTGGGCACTCCTGGGGATGGGCTGTGCCTGCTGGTAACCTGTGGCAGGCTGGAGAGGCCCTCTCCACAGCTGGTCCAGCTCACAGCTCAGTGCTGAGCTCCCACAGCTCTGCTCTCCCTCTGCTCCCTGCCTTTGAGGTTCTTTCAAGACCTGCTTCTCTAAAAATTCCAGTCTGGGGCAATCCCAAGCCCAAATGAGCTGTGTGAACACAGAAAACCTTTGTGAAGAACATCCCTAAACCTCAACACCTGGGCTGCCCAGGGGGCCAGGCTGCCAGGAAAGGTTTCACGTCCCAGAGCTTGTGTCTGTCCCTGTGCTTGTGCTCTGGCCAAGCAAAGATCTGAGCAGCAACCAAAGGCTTTTCATCTTCACAGAGGTCACATTAAACAGCAGAGAGAAGAGCCTGACTCTCATCCTGCAGCCCAGCAGGGCTCTGAGGCACACAGGAGTCCCTGGCTCTCCTCCCTGAGCTGAAGCCACCAAGCTCAGGCTTCTCTCTCAGGAACTCCTGGGTCAGGCCAAGCTTTGTGGAGGGATGCAGGGCCAGAGCCCTGTGCATCTCACAGCACTTTCCTCACCCTCACACAGCTCCACACTTACCCTGGGCTGACGCAAACGACTTTGAAAGGAACAAAGTCACGGAGAAGGAGCAGGGAAGGGAAGTGATTTGTTGCGTGCCCTATTGTAATGTCATTAAAACAAAAGGATTAGAGCAGAAAGCATAAAAGCAAGCCCTGTGTGGAGGCACGGAGGAATCCTTTCAGAGGGTTACCAGCTGCAGAAAACACTGCCATTAATTCTCTATTGGAAAACGCTGGTGACATTAATATCTGCTATAAATACTGAGCTTTGACAGTATCTCATAAATTCAACCTGTCAATTACAATGGCACTGAAATGAAGGTGCTCTGAGGTCAAGGAGATGCGGTGTCCAAACGAGACTTATATTGCAGGGGAAAAGCAGCAAAAACAATCTTTAACAAAAGCATCAGATCCATATGTAGGAAAACCAAAGGGTGGTTTTAAATGTCATGTTTTTCAAAGTGAGAATTGATGCTGGAACCAAGTCTATAAACTGGCTGGCTGGACTTTCAGCTGCAGCTGAGGACAATCAATCAAAACAGCTCTGTGACTCTGAGAAAGTGAGAGAGAGAAAACACACACACACACCACGGAATATGAGAGGGCAGATCATGAGCCATGCGAGGCCTCTTAAAATTACACTGTGAAATAAAACATCCTCGTGTTTCATCTGCCATGAAATGTAACCTGAAAGGTTCCCCTCGGCACGGAGCGGGGTGTGGAGCTTATCCTTTCCCGAGGGCTGGGCGGGCTCCTGGGGCAGGGCTGAGCAAGGGGAACCTGCTCCCCAAAGCCTGCACCACCCGTGAATGGCACCCTGATTCCTGCAAGCCCTCTGTGAGCCCCCTGCTCTGCAGCTGAGGGCACAAGGATCCATAAATCCCGATAAATGCTCCCCTGTCTCTGTCACTGCCAGCCCCAGGGCAGGGCTGCACCACCCCAGGCTCACAGCCACCCCTGTGGTGGCAGGGACAGTGACAGCCCAGGCACTGGCGGTGTCTTTGTGCGCCTCTTGGAAGTGTTGGCGTGTCCCCAGCACCCCAGAGCCCCTGCTCTGAACACTGCCCTCCTCTTCAGCCCTTCCAAGGGATTCCCAAAATCCCCTCAGACTGTTCCAACCTGCACCAGCAGAGCCTGGAGCTGCTAACCTAGCAATGACACCCTGCTCAGGGTCAGTGACACCCTGCTCAGGGTCAGTGACACCCTGCTCAGGGTCAGTGACACCCTGCAAAGGTTCAGCCCTGCAGAGCAGGGTCAGTGACACCCTGCAAGGTTCAGTGACACCCTGCAAGGTTCAGCCCTGCAGAGCAAGGTTCAGTGACACCCTGCACAGTAACAGTGACACCCTGCAAGGTTCAGCCCTGCAGAGCAGCGTGTGTTTCTGGCTCCCAGGGGCTGTGCCCAAGCGAGGGGTGGGGATGGAAGCGCATGCAGGGGCACGAGGCACTCGTGCAGGCCTCGTTCCAGGGCTGGGGGAAGGAGCCCCAGGCCAGGCAGCTGGGCAGGCATGGCTCAAACCAGCGTTAACGTGGAGCCAACACTCCCAGCGCCCCCTGCTCCAGACAGTGACTGACCTGAGGGCACAACGCTCTCCAGCTCCTCTCCCACCTTCTCCTGTCCCTGGCTCGCAGCTCGTCCCCGAGGCCAGCAGCAGGGAGCTCCTGGTCAGGGCGGGCTGTGGTGTCCCTGCGTGGTTCCCCAGGCAGAGCCCAGCGCTCCCGGCTGCCTGCAGCATCCCAGCTGGGGCTGGGCACAGCCCAACGCCCAGGCCAGCACGGGCTCCTGGGAGCGCTGCAATCCCCGGGCAAGCACGGAGGGATGGAGCCCAGAACCCACTGCTAATCCATCCCACCCCTGAGGGGTGCTGTGCATCCTGTGATCCCGGCTCATCCGAGAGAGGAGCTCCCCCCGAGCCCCAGAGCAGCTCATCCCCAGCCCAAGGGAGCCCCGGGCACTGCAACGCTGCTGGGCACCGACCAGGACTGCTCCTCCTCTTCTTTGTGCAACTTCTCTGACAACTCCTTCCCTCTGGGCCTTTTGTCCCAGACATTGTCCCAGCAATTCCCAGAGCTCCCAGCCTGCCCTCTCCAGCAGAGCAGGGCGGTGGGGCAGGGCTGGAAGCGCCGGCCGGACTCGGAGCGCGGTGTCGGGAGAGGAGGTGACCACAGGGGACACCGGGGCCTCCCTCCCTGACACAGCTCGAGCAGCAAGGCTTGCTTATCCGTTCCTTTTATGATGCACATCACCTACATTCCACAACAGAGACACTTCTCCTCTCTCCTCTCCTCGGACACCTTTTCCCCAGCGAGCCCTACAAGTGCTGCTTGCTGCGGCCTCATTTTGCATCATCATCATCATCATCATCATCATCACCACGCACTCATCCTCATATAAAACAGAAATCTATTCCATCAAGCACTTAACATAAATATTAAAATAATGGAAGGGACAAAATATAAATCTACATACAACTTCATGACTACCATAGCACCTATTACCATGACAAAGCAAATTCTGGTTCAAGGGGAAGGGAAGGGGGATGAGGAGCAAGTTAGGAAGAGGAACTTCGACTGTCATTAAATATGTAAATCACTCTTTCAAAAAAGATTTTTTTTGTTGTTGTTGTTTTGTTTTTGTTTTAAGGTTACCAACCTTATTAAAATTCATTCCACTAACCAGCTCGTTCTATGTCACTATGGATACCAAAGAACCCTTTAAAAAAACTCGGGCGAGGCGGGGGTTTCTCAGAATAAAAACAAAACGAAACAAAACACGGCGACTTTCTGTTGGTGCTTCCATGACAAGTCCTGCCACGTGCCCCTCCCCTGCACCCACCAGTCCACAGAAGGGCAATTCTTTTACAAGTCCAGTTCTCAGTCTCCCAGGATGAGCTTGACAAAAGAGGCGACGTCTGTCTCTTTGGATTCGTGCAGGGTGAAGAAAGGATGTAGCTGGGAAAGCAAAGAGAGAAAAAAAAACAGCCAAGTTTATTAATCACCATGCTGAGCAAAACGCTTTTCAGACAATCCTCTAGACAGTGAAGAAGGTTTTCTCCTTAGCATCATAATATTGGGCTTTTACAGCTGAGGCAAGTCGGGGAGCACAAGGGTGCTCCGTGAAATTGCCACGGATTCCACCTAAACCCTGCCCTGGAGGGGAGGGCTGAGCTGGGCAGCTCTGGAGGAAAGGGGAAGGCTTAGAAAACCCTCTCCATCTGCCCCAAACACCCTCCAGACCACGCTCCAACCAGAGCAGGGAAAACCTTGCTGACTGCAGTGCTTTTCCCTCATCTTTATCTGTGTGTTTACCCTCTGGTGACTCCTGAGTCTCATTTCTTCCCTGAACTGCCCCTCCTCGCAGCAGGAGCGGCTCCTTCACCCCAAACACCACACAGGAAAGCCATCCTGACTGGAAAACCATCCCCACTTGTGTGTTTAACCACTTCATCCTGACCCACGTGGGGAGACAGCCTGCCAGAAAACCTTGCACCAATGGAAAAATACAGGGAAGGAGGAAAAACACAACCAAACCCCACTGAGAGCAACCAAAGCCCCTCTCTGCCAGGACCAGCAATTCCCTTTGGTTGGTTCAGCAACACACTGAGCTGAGATCCCACCTGAAAACCCCCAAAACCCAGTTTGACACCCACTATCCTGGCAGATAATCGGGTTTATTTGTATGGAGGGCGTCAGTGAGAACCAAGAGGCAGCCAGGGCCCTGCAGGGCTCACAGTGATCTCTGCTCTGTACCAGGGTTTCATTCCCAGCCCTCGCATTTCGAGTCAGATTTTTAAAGACAATTTGGGGTTTCCAGGGTTTTTTCCAAGCTGCCCCTCACCTCAGTCCCTGAGCACTGACTGTTTCAATGATCTTTCATGGCAGTGGCCAAGTGGAAGGAGAAGAAGAGCAAAGAAAAGAGATTTTTCAAGGTGGGCTTGAGTGGAAAGTCACCCAGGGAATAAGATGAGGCAGCTCTGAGTGGCTGGGAAGCAATCCAAAGACACACCAGTAAGGAAGAGGAAGCACAATTATGTGGGAAACAGGGCTGGAGTGGGTTGAGGCAAAGATCCAGGCAAAACTTTAGGTCTCCCTAGGTCAGACACTGACAGGAACTGAAGTGTGGGTAACTCAGAGAGGTGACCCCAATGTCCCGTTACTACCCCAGCTTTGTTTTTTGTTATTGTCCTAGCTTTCACATCCCACTGAAGTGACACCCAAAGCACAGCTACCACAGCCTGGACACATCCAAAAATGTGCCAGGGGTGGCAGCAATGCCCTCCAGCCTGTGCCCCAGGGAAGCCAAGGCTGTGCCAGGCGGGATGTGCAGACCACCGCTCCTGCAGTAGTTTCACGCTCCACTTCACCTGGGGAAGTGGGTTTTTAAATGAAATTAAGCACTCCTATCAGCTTTCCTGCTGCTCAAGATAGCACAGAGTCACATTTTCCATGAGAAACCTCAATCCCACAGGAAAGCAAGGGAGCAGTCTTGGTCTAAATGACAAATCCAATCCAGCACCGCAACTTAATGCTGTAAGAGGGAGGAAAAAACCTCAACAAAACAGCAACCCTCAACCACAGGACCTCACAACATCCATGTCAGCCATAAAATGCCACAGCACTGAGATACTCTGCAGGGGTGATCCAAGAACCTAATTCAATAGAAATGCACTCCCTTGCCAATGGGTATTAATGCTGCAGCAGACGGAGCTGCTTCGGTGAACCTTTTTTGATAAAAGGCCATTTGCCAAAGTTCAGAAATTTGCTTAAAATATACAGATGGATTTATCAAATAATATACCCCTCAAAAAAAAATTAAGAAAAAAAAGCTGTAAAACTCAAGCCTCCCTTTGTTTGAAACCAGTCTGGGGGCAAGCTGTGTGTCAATCAGATCTATTTATAGTTGAATTGCATTACAGGGTCCAGCACCAAATGCCATGGGAATTATTCACTGCTTGCACTCAGGGTTGTGGATTTCCAGCATGACTTGCAGGTAAAAATCACCTTAAACCTGGCACCTTCTCAGCTCTGAGCAGAAGGTGTGAGGTGGTGATGGGTCTGACCCTCTGGTGGCAGAATGTAGATCCCAAAAATTGCGAGGTAGGGAATACCAGTGCCTAAAGAAATCCTGCAGCAGTTGCCACCCTTAACCAGGTGATCTTGACTCTGAGACTGGACAGGGGTGGGAAAGCAGGGTCAGGAGCTTCAGAAATAACAAATTTAGGCACCTTCCTGCCTTTAGAAAGCTGCGAGCTGTGTGAGAGTAACAAAGGATTAAATGTCTGCAGGAGTGAAACACCAGCTTCCTGAGCTCTCCTGCTTTCTGCCAGCTTTTAGGAGCACCAGGATCAATACCAGAAAGTCAGGAGAGAGAGAAAGGCCACGAAGCAGTGGAGCCCAAGCAGAAAAATCTGTTCTTGCCAGCTGCAGCCCAGAGCTCTGGCTGGGCACAGAGCAGTGCCCTGCATTTCCCCTGCCACCAGCCCTTATTGGCATTCTCCTCCTTAGCTATTCCTTGGTTATCCCTGACAGTAAACAGTCTCTAGGCAGAGATGACACTCAATAACTGGAATTATTAGTCATAGACTCGTCTCTGTCCCCAACATCCAGGAATTGCTCTGTCCAAAAATCCTCCTCTCCAAGGCACCAGGGCAGCAAAGCCCAGTCTGGGCTCCTGCAGCATCTGTGGCACACTGAGGTGTTTGAGTTGATCACACAAACCCCAGAGGAGGATCTGAGCCTCACTAACTGATCCTTCACAGCCTCATTCTCATCCATTACCTGCTTTAATATGTATTTTCTCCCTTGATCTGACTGGAAAAGCACCTGGCTGAGATTTCAAAGAGCATCTCTGATTTGCAGCCACCCTCCCAGGACTCTGAAGTGTCACAATTTTCTCATCTGGTATGAAAAATGAGATGCAAAGCATCCCAAAACACCATCACTACTGGAATCCCTGCCCTCAGCACCTCACTGTGACCCATTTCAGTTCTGAAATGATGCAGCCACAATTCTGAAATAATTGCTTGATGCAGCCACACTCACCATAAGCTCTGGGTATGTTGGCCGTTCTTTGGAATTCTTCTTCAAGCTTTAATTGGGAGAAAAAAGGAAAAATTAGAATTTACATTCTGTCTGCAATTTAAGTAAGGCCATAAAATGATACCACGACAGCTGTAAGGTTTGAAGACTCTGCAGAACACGTTCAGCTACTCATCCAAGTTGAGGAAACAATTTAGGCCTTGAGGACAACGACAGCAGTGCTGGGCACAAGAACTCAAAGTCCACCGAGAGATCTGGAGCCACCAAAAACACCACTTAAAACACTGCCTCTTGCTGGGGGCCAGGTACAACTGGGAGTCTGGGTGCTCTCCAACAGGCCAGTGACTCAGGGAATGGATGCAGCCTCCAAGCTCTGCCTGGGAGCAGTGACTGAGTGGCTGCAGAGCACGTGTACAACTGTTTGTTTATCACCGCGCTGTTATCAGCGGGGACGCTTCCATGGGACATCCTTTTTTTCTCCCCTCTCCTACAACAGATGGCCCTGGAGGGTTGTAGCTGGAAGATATTTTGGTTTCCCTCCAGCAGAAAATAGCTTTTAAAAGACAGGACGTAATCTCTACTCACTTCCTGGCAGTGTATTTAGGGGAAAGACACTTGGAGCGACTTGAAAAGATCTTCACACACGTACGCGGCGGTGGCGGGGAAAAGGTGTCACACTGAGCAAAACAAAAGTGAGAACCTCTGCTGGGATTTGCTGGGGCCCAGAGGAAGCAGAGGACACACACTGAATAGATATTTCCTGCTTGCTGTGTGTAGAGGGCTCGTGTTTAGTGTCATGTTGTGAATGAACGGAGGAACCCGGGGCCGATACGTGCCAATATCGCCGGCCCGAAGGTACGGGATGTGTCACATCCTCCCAGCTCAGCAGCGGCCCCAGCCAAGATGACAAGGTGAATTTGAAGGTTAGCTGTGTCCAGATTTGGTGTAATTCTCTTAATTTAGACCCTCTACAAAACAAATTCATCCCCAGGTCACTAATAGCAGGAAATCTGGTGGTAAGTTCCTGAAATCAATGTAAATTTTCAGGAATGAAGAGTTATATTGGGATCTGATCCTGACTCACATATCCCAGGAATCTTCCTGCAGTGCCTACAGGTGATCAGACTTCACTGCCCAGGCAGCAGATGGATAAACACAGTCCTAAACCAGGCTTTATACAGGGTGGCTATGACCTGGTTGGGTGTCAGGAATTGCCAGACCCCAATAACACAAAACTGGTGCAAAGTTCACCATTCCCCACCCATGCCACTCCGCTGGCAGTGAGGGATCTTCGGTGTCCCTGGAGGACAGGATTTGCAAAGCCAGGAGTCACCACGTGCTCCCCAAAGTGGCTGTGGATGTAATTCCTAAAGCAGCCACAAACTGCAAGACACAGAGCCTGGAAAGGCAAATCCCTCCGAGAGGAACAGCCTGCCTGGCACAAGCTGGAAAACAGCAGCTGCCCCAAAACCTCAGCGTGGGCCTTGCAAGAACGGGGGGCATCTCGTGAGAGGGTTTTTCCAAGGCAGCTCCCACCTCTCCCAGAGCCAGGGCAGGGAGGGCATGGCAGGTATTCCCCAGCATGGGTCAGGAGCTGAGCAGCTGGACCACAGGGACATGAAAACATGCTTGAACAAGACTCTGAAGAATCTAAACGTGGGTACTGAGAGTGCCCAGGCAGGAGCAGCTGATAATCCCCTTCCAGGGGCACGGCAGCTCGGGAACAGTCTCACATTTCTGTTTGTCCATCTGCCGCCCTTTGTGGCCGCCAGGCAGACCCAGCAGCCGCCTGACAACTTGGCAGGAGGGTGGGTGGCACTGCAGAGCCTGGAAAACCCGATCCTGCTGCCAGGCGGTGTGCAGGGAAGCTGCAGGGAGCCAGGGCGAGGGCAGGCTGTGCTCTCTGCACGCTGTGCTGGGGTGTCTGAGCTCTCTCCAGGCTGTGTTGGGGTGTCTGAGCTCTCTCCAGGCTGTGCTGGGGTGTCTGAGCTCTCTCCAGGCTGTGCTGGGGTGTCTGAGCTCTCTCCAGGCTGTGCTGGGGTGTCTGAGCTCTCTCCAGGCTGTGTTGGGGTGCCTGAGCTCTCTCTCTGTGCAGCCTGCAGACAGCAGCAGGGCTGCTCCAGCCCTTTTCCTACAGCACAGCCAAATGCTCCTGCTGCTTCCAGCTGCCAGGCCTGGGGAAAGCAGAGCAGCAGCCCCAGAGCCCCGGGAGAGGGACAGACACCAGCCAGAGGGGGATACCACAGAAAATCTGCCCTCAGAGCCGTGTCCCCTGAGAGAGGACACAGCCATTCCGTACCCTGCTGCCCTTCCCAGCCTCAGGGACACGAGCTGTCCCTGCTCACAGCAGCCCTGTGGGGCAGCCAGGGTGAGGAGACACCGAAATCCTGCGTGTCCCCTCGAAGCAGCCCAGCCTGCTCCGCGGAGAGACGGCCAGAGCTGCTGTGCCTGCACGGTGCTCAGCCAGGGAATGTTCTGCCCTTCCCCAGGGAATGTTTTGCCCAAATCTGGGGTTGGGAGCTGCTTGTGGAGACAGGCACCCATGTGCTGAAGGCGAGCAGGGCCAGGGAGAGCGGGGACAAGAGGGAATTGTACCATTGCGAGGTAAAATCGACGAACTCCGCTGAGAACTTCTCCGCTGGGAGCTGCGGCGACGGCTCCTCCACCACCTGCTTGAGCTGCTGGAAGGGCGTGCCCCAGGAGTCGTAGGGAAAGCGCAGGATGGCCAGCTCGATCTGGGGACACAGAGCCCAGACTCAGCACTGGGGGGACACCCCACAGCTCTGGGATTGCCGCCTGCCCACCCCGGGGTGTGCTCCTGTAGGCTCCACACAAACGGGGCTGCTCAGCCTGGAGATGGGAACGCTCCAAGGAGATCTCAGAGCCCCTTGCAGAATCTAAAGGGGCTTTCCAGAAAGGAGGGAGGGTGACATTTTACATGGGCAGTGATAGAACAATGGGGATTGGTTTTGAACTAGAAGAGGAGAGATGTAGATTAGATATGAGAGAATTCTTCCCTGGGAGGGTGGGGAGGCAGCTGTGGCTGCCCCTGGATCCCTGGAAGTGCCCAAGGCCAGGCTGGACAGGGCTTGGAGCAGCCTGGGACAGGGGAAGGTGTCCCTGCCATGGCAGGGGTGGGAATGAGATGGGATTTAAGGTCCCTTCCAACCCAAACCATTCCGGGATTCTATGATTTCCTCACCCCACCTGGCCACAACACATTGCTCATCCTCCCCCAGCAAGCAGGAGAGGCTCAGGAGAGCCAGGCAGCTCCACGTGCAGTGTCCTGTCCCCCTGTCACCCCCCGTCCCCCCGTCCCCCTGTCCCCCACCTCCTGGGGAAGGCTGGGAGCGAAAGGCAGCCCCAGCACAGGGCAACCGTGCTGGGAAAACCCTTTGGGAGCAGATGGATTCCCCCAGAACACTGCCTGGGGGAGTGTCCTGAGGGGGCCTCTGGGAATTGCTGAGCGCTGGCAGGACTTTCTGTGCCGGGAAATCCAAGCTGCTCCATCTCCTTAGCCCATGCTGCCATCTCCCGGCAGCTGCAGCCGGCACATCCCACCGAGCAGCTCCCTCCTCCTTCCCTGTGTCACCTTCCCTGTGCCCTCCTGGGCTCTCCCTGCTCCCACCCTGGGCCACCAGCATCAATCCCTGAGCCCCACGGAGCCCTCCTGGCTCCATGACCGTACCATGGTGATCCCCAGGCTCCAGATGTCGGATTTGACGCTGTATCCCTTCTGGTTCAGCTCCGGGTTAATTCTCTCAGGCTGTGAACAGAGACAAGGGTGGCTGAGGAGCAGGGACGGCCCCAGTGCCCTGCCCACACCCAGGCTGGGTCTCTCAGGGTGGCAGCCTCAGCACCCCTTAGCCCAAACCTCGCCCTCCTGGCTGTGCTGGGCCCAGCTGGTTCCCCATCCTCACCACTACAGGTGATGCTTTCAGTTTTGGCTCTCATTTCTCCCCGGTTCTGCATTGGTGCATAACTCTGAATTTCATAGAAAGTGTCAGCAGGGTCTCCTCACAGCTCAGCACACACAACAATCCTTTTCCAGCCCAGAACCAAGGACACCGCTGCAGCTTTGGGCCCAAAAACAACAGCGGATTGAGGAGAGCAATCTGGGAGAATGGGACTTCATTAACTGAAGCTGTAACTGCACAATTAACGCCAATGCAGAAATGGACCAAAGCTTATAAAGGTGTGAAAAGGTGTGATCTGTCATCCATCCTGGGTGGAACCTCAGCCAGGCTCTTGCAGTGCCCAAGGTGCATCCTTGGAAGGGCTTTAAATGAATCCCTTTATTTAAATCACTTTACTCCTTTAACTCTGTCCAGCCTCTGCTCCAGGGAGCCTCTCCAGGCATCAAGGGCAGGCAGTGGAACCTGTCACCAGGAACAGGTGGCACCTGCAGTGGTGGAGCTGACCTGGCACAGAGGGGCTGACAAACCTCAGCTCTCCAGGACTGTTTTTACCCTGTTCCAAGTGCTCCACAAAGGGTGAATCCTGCACAGCAGCTCCCAGCAGCAGCCCGAGGGACCCAGTCCCTGCCGACTGCTTTTCCTCCCCCTGCTAAGTACTGCCATCCCCACAAACGGGGACAAACGGCAAACAGGGAAGAGGGAGCAATTCCAGAGCCTTCCCAAGGTCACAGGCAGGTGAGAAGGCAGAGGAAGCCGTGCCCAGGAGATGAGATCTGAGCCATGAGATCCGTCTCCCCTCCCAAAGGGATTGTGTCCCTTAACTTCAGGGCCACGTCTTCCCAAACGAATCCCTGGGATAGATGCCGGAGGCTGATCCTTCCCCCCGGCCTCATGTTCCTTTGGCTGCTCCCCAGGCAGCTTCTCAACTTACAGCCATGTAGGGTTTGCATCCTGCATCCATGGTTTTAGCAACAGAGTCAACGAGGTAACCGCTAATCCCAAAATCGCACATTTTCACCTGCCCCTGCGTATTGATCAACACGTTAGAGGGCTTTACATCTGCAAGAAGGAACACAGACCACAGTCACTGTCACGAGGGGGTGGCTGGGCCAAGCCACAAGCAGCCTCAGAGGGTTCTATCAGCAGAGGGCAGCCAAGGAGCCCAGCAGAGCCCAGCGCTCCGGGTGTGCCAAAAACCCGCTGGCCGCGGCTGTGGCGCGTTCAGGTGACAGCCTCATGGGCCTGTCATGTGTCCTGCTGCTGTCCCTTCACTCACACACTCCCCTCTCCCAGCTGGGGGAGCAGGAGGTGACTCTGCACATCCCACTGCTCAGGGAATGCTCAGGGAATGCTCAGGGAATGCTCAGGGACACCAGGAGCGAGCAGCTCCGCAGGGCTGCGGGCCATTCCGTGGGGTGTCTGCTCTGGCAGGGCCCCGTGGGTCTGGAATCATGCCAGCACAAGGAAAAACCCATGGGGGAAGGATGTGGGGCTGCAGGGGAAGGAGGGAGCAGCAAACTGAGACAAGGATCAGAGGTTCAGAAATGACCTCTGATTTTAAGGATACAAAGCCCGACTGCAGCGCGAGCAGCAGCAGGAGAGTGGGAGCTCCACACCCCATGGAAATCAGGCCAGAGTCTCATCTACCTATTGCTGCCAGATTTATCCCTTCCCATCGTGGCTTTACAAATCCCTGGTGTGCTCTTCATGCTCGTGAGGGCAGAGACAATCCCCAGCAGAAAAGGAAATGAAGGCATCCAGAGGTGCCAAGTAGTGATACCCAGGAGAGCATGGAGGTGTTCTCCAATTGCTCTGTGAGGCTGATCCCAGATGGAATTTCAGCACAGGTGACCCTGCTCTCTCTGGGATGATCCAAAGGAAGCAATCCTTTCCCTGCTGTCACCCAGAAGTAACAGGTCACTTCCTGAAGATCCTCTGTCTCCACGTGATAAAGAATTAAATAAAAGAGCTGAAACACCCTTTGAAGGATGCCAGAAGCTGCGGTTGAGTCCTGCTTATTAGAACTGTGGGTTTACAGCTCGTTAACATCTGCTCTCTAATCAGCATTCTGCAATCAAAAACCTCAGGTATCCAGAATCCTCACCATCTGTTACTGCACTGAAATAAGACCATTTTCAGTGGAAATCAAACAAGTGCACACAGAAACTCAGCAGCCCAGAAGGGCTTTCCACCTCCTTTCAGTGATACAGGAGGCAGAAACTCAACCCCCAGCCACAGAAGAATACAGCCAGTGCCACTGCCTGTTCCAGCTGAACTCTGCTGCTCACACACTCCAGGGAGGGCTCTTTCCTCCTCATGACAAATTGAAAATGACCCTTTAAAAAATAAAGGTGTCAAGCAGCAACTGCAAATTTGTTTCTGAGTTTGTTCACAGCAGCTTTGAGATGCTCCAGAGGGGAAAAAGTCAGAAGGGTTTAAGGAGGGGAATTTATGATTTCATTTGAGGCTGGTTTAGGTGTCAGACTGCTGTGCTCAGGGAGGCTCATGGGGGGGTGAGGATGGCTGGAGCAGTGCAGGAGGATGAGGATGGCAGCGAGATCCCTCTCACTGCACATCAGCACAGAGCCGTGGAGCAGCGGGACAAAGCCTGCTCCAAAAGCTTTCCAAGGTCAGGGGAAAGGCCTGGCTCAATTTCAGCCTGGGTTTAGGGGAAAGCAGCCCCAGGGAAACAGCCCTTCCTCCAGCAGCCCTTTCTCCCCCACTTCAGGGAAACACTGGGAGCAGCAGGCAGATTTCAAGGAGCAAACTGCAGCCATCTCCTCTGCCTGGGTTTTGCCACAAGTCATGAGATGCTGGGGAGAATTTCTGCTGTCAAAGGCCCACTTTATCTCGGGTATTTTGGGAGCCCTTGCCAGGCTGAGAGCCCTTGCCTGGCACTCACCTCGGTGGATCACGGAGAGCTTACTGTGGAGATGTTCTAGTGCTTTTACAATCTGAAACGACAAATCCGGAGTCAGTCACAGCTGGCAGCACCCAGGAGGAGGAAATGATACCTGGCTTCACCCCCAGAGCTGCCTGGAGGTAGCAGGAAAAACACGTCCCCCATGAGTGCTGCACCCTGTCAGCAACCCAAGGTGTTGGTGGGTACCCAGGGACCTTCCTGGGGGCTCCAGGACCCCGGTGAGAAGGGAAAGGAGCTGCAGGAGCCTCCCCACATCTCACACTGGGCCATCTCTCCATCACGTGTATGGATGGGCACATTTATGCCTTATAAATATAAATATTTATGGCTTATAAATAACATCACTTCAGAGCAGACATGTGAGGCCAGCTGTGGGAAGGGCCCCATGGGCTGGCACATGGACCACCCTCCTCCTGCACATACAGCAGGAGCTTGGCTCAGGAAGGACCTGGCTTAGAAGAGAAACCCCTTTGCCTCCCCTCCTCACCCTGCTGCTACTCACAGAGACTGCGATTTTCCCCAGGATGTCCTCGGGAATCGTCAGGCCTTTGTCAATGACATGTTTGTAGAATTTGTCCAGTGAGGTATCCATCAGCTCCATGCAAATCCACACGTCTCCCTGGAGAGTAAAGCAAGCAGACAGCCACATATTGGAACAAAGCATCTCTTCTTTTTTCCCTTCCCCTTCCCTTCCCCTTCCCTTCCCCTCCCTGGCCTCGTTGGCCCCTCCCTGTTTTTTAACACCCATTCAGCAAAGCTGTCCTGGCCTTTCCTTTCCCTGCTCTGGAATTCAGTGCTGATCACATTCCCTACCATTTAGGGCCTCCTCTTCCCAAAGCAGAGCCAGAGTGATTTAGGAGAAATCCAGAAAGTTATCAGGAGCTGAGGCTCCCGATGCCCAGCCAGGAGAAGTTCAGCTCTGCAGAGCTGTGCTTAAAGCTCTCCAATAAATCCTGCTTTCCAGAGCTTTCCCCACTCTTCCCCCACATGGAGGGAACCAAGCCAGGCAGTTGTAACACCACAGGACCAGGCTGTGGGCTGGTGGCCGTCCCACACTCACAGCCACAGCAAGTGACACATCCTTAGGCCAGCACCGAGCCAATCTCCGTGTCCAGGTGCAGATTAAACCCCTGGCACTTGGAGGAAGTGCAGGAGTGGGAACTCAGTCCCAAGAAGCCTCACCTCTCGGAAAAGCGCCCCGTAAAAGGTGACGGTGAAGGGACAATCCACCGTCCTCATGGAGATATCCAGATCCATCAACAACCTCTTCTGCTCCTGGCTGTTCACCGTGGCTCGGATCCGCTGGAAGGCACAGCGTGTCAGGGCTGGCTGCCCCAGGGCCCTGGCACCTCACCCAGACCCTTCCAGCACCCTTCTGTCACCACCTGTGTCACAGGCACGTCCCCAGCCCAGCACCCACGGCAGGAGCACCCAGGGGTCCTCCCAGCACTGCTGGTTTGGTTCTTTCCCACCAACACCACTCCTTATGCAAGAGCCAAAAGAAAGAAGTGGCTTGGGAGAGGAGAGGGGAGCAGGAAATCGAATTCCAGGCTGGTGGAAAGCTGGGACTTTGGGAGTCCAGTGGACATGTGTTACATCAGCAGGTTTTGGGCACGAGGAGAGCTCCAGCCCCCTCCACTGGGCTCCCATGGCTTTGGAAATGGGGCGGTTCCCAGGAAGAGACGTCCTTGAGGTGAAACACCTGGAGACCCCGGGCTGGCTAACACCACAGCAGGGCACACACAGGTCACACACATCCTCCAGGCCACACGAGGCCAGCTACAGAATTAAACTGCTCAGCATCACAGAGAGCCTGAATGCTCCTGCCGTGCCCAGCTGAGATCCCCCATCGCCCCCAGAGAGGTCTTTGGCACTTTGGTGAACACCAAAGCAAACAAAAAGACCAAATGCAGAGCACAGAGGCCCTGGGACCAGACAGTACCCAGAGCAAAATCCTCCTCACAACTGATGAGCAAAGAGTTTGCTCAGAGCTTCCAGAGCTTCTCTTACTCTGAAAGGAAGCTAAAATTCAGCCAGGCAAAAACTGGTCCTTCCCAAACTACAATTTTTCCCATGACCATTTCCCTAATCTCCAAATTTATGAGCCTAAGCTGTTGTTATGAAAACTTTTCGTGATAATATCTACAAGCCTGCCATGAGTCAAGATCCCACTGCAGCAGGCAAAACGTGAAAATCCCAACAAAAACTCCCTGTTCCAAGGAGACTGAAAAAGTCCCAGATGAAGAAGAGTCTCTTGTACAATTAGATTTATTCTTCTTTATAATTATGAAGTGAATCTGATGGGCTACAGCAGAAAGCAATATGTGAATTTCTATGTCTGTGTGTGTTTAAAAAATGATGGTATAATGAATCCTAGGCAAACAGGAATAGTGTGGATAGAGGTGAGCAGTGTGACGGATGCACCACAACGCTGGAGCATCCCACTTTTAAAACACCCCCTTTCCACAGTTAAATAACCCAAACCTCCCTCGGGCCCTGCGTGGAAAGAGGATTTCATGAGGAAAGCAGCAAATCTCAGGAAAGGAACAAGGGTGATTCCAAGTGTGCCCAGCACCCCGAAAAGGACAGACCCCCCGAGGCTCACTCTACCTTCACTGCCATGATCTGCCCGCTGGGCATGTGCCGCATCTTCTCCACCACCCCGTACGCACCTCGTCCCAGCTCGGAGATGGGCTCCAGGTCATCGGCCTTCACCTCAAAGTTCTGGGGGACAAAAGCCATGGGTGGCTGCTGGGTGTTTGTTCTGTGCCCCACGTCCCCCCCTGTGGGACGTGGATGTGTTTTGTGGGCCTGAGTCCCAAAATCCCAGTCCCAGCGTGGGGAGGGGTGGGAGGGAGCACGCTGGGGCCATGGGGTCCATCCTCGCTGCCCAGGCTGTGTCCAGGAGCGTCCTGAGCTTCCTCCCGTGGGGTGCTCTGCCCACCCACACCCCAGTGCCATGGAATCATGGATCACAGCATCACAGAGTCCTCTGAGCTGGAATCCTGGAAAGGTTTGTGTGGGAGGAACCCTAAAGATCATCTCATGTCACCCTCCTGCCATGGCAGGGACTTCCCCTGTCCAAGGAAGTGCTCCAAGCCCTGTCCAGCCTGGCCTTGAGCACTCCAGGGATCCAGGGGCAGCCCCAGCTGCTCTGGGCACCCTGTGCCAGGGCCTCTCACCCTCACAGAGAGGAATTTCCTCCTAATATCAATCTAGCCTTGCTCTTTTTCCTTTTGAATCTATTTCCCCTTGTCCTGTCACTCCATGCTCTTGTCTCGTCCCTCCCAGCCACCTTTAGCTGGCAGCACTTTCATTTTTCATTGTTCTCCATCCTCTGAGGGCTGGAATAGGAAACACCACAGCAGCTCCTCCCCAGGAAATCACCTCAAATCTCACTTCATTTTATTTTCCTTCCATCCTCTTCTTCCCTCAAACAATCCAGGTGTTTTAAAGCTTATTTCTCCAGACCTGCAGATTGGCCAAATACTGAATTCACAGCTGAATGTGCCCTGTTTTCAAATCAGGGAGGATTTCCTTTGTCCATCATCATTTTCTCCTACCTCTACACAAGGGATCAATTTGTATGGACCCTGCATCCCTGCCCTTCTCCTTTCTGCCACGATATCATGCAGCCAATGATAATAATAATAATAATAATAATAATAATAATAATAATAATAATAATAATAATTTGATGTTTCAAATCTGCCTCTGCCACTAAACCCAGCCACTCTGTTTGCTGCAAGCACAAGCCCAGCAGTCAGTCCCCCTGCAGTGGGTGAGGATGAGCTGATTCCCAGGGAATAATCCCACACGGCTTTCTGCCGGCGCAGCAGAAAAAACCCTGCAGCCTGCAATGAGCCAGCTGGGGATGCCACAGAGAGCAGGGAGACACTCTGGGAATGTGCACAAGGAGCCCTGACTACACATTTTGGAGCCACAGCAGAGATTTAGGCATCTCTGACTCCTGCTGTTCACCAGGAGCCTCTCCAGAAACGCGCTTGGAGTTGTTTTAGAGTTTAAGCAGAGTTTAGAGGGAGAGCAGGGTGAGTGGCTTTCCCTCGGGGTCAGGGGGAGCGTGGGAATTCTGGTGCCCATCCCAAAGGAACCTGGATCAACAGGTCACAGGTCCCTGGGAAATGCAAGCCAAGGCGTGCCAGTCCCTGAGGCAGCCACGGATCCGTGCCTGGAAAACTCCAGGGCTGAGTGTGGCTCCCTTTGCAGCGTCCAGCCCTGCATGGAGCCCTTCTGGAGCCTTCCCCCACCCCTGGGACTGCAGGGGATGGGTGATTTTCTTGGAGCAGGCATTCCTCTGCCTCCCTGCTGCACCATTCTGCATCTCACAGTGCTTCCCTGCCCCTGCTCCAAGCCAGGGGAAATACAAAATGCAAAATGAAAGGAAAGCCTCCAAAATCGGGCATTTTAAACCACTCTTGGATTAGGATTTCACTGCATAAATCACCTCACCGACACCAAGGCCTATCTTTTGCACCTCATAAATTTATTGTCCAGCTTTAAAGGGCTTTTTTGGAATTCTGCTCTGCCTTTTTCTCCCATCAAAATAACTGTCCTGGGCTTTGTTTTTTTTTTCCCCTGATATTTTTTTTCCATCCAGGTGGACTGGTCTCCATGCTGCCAGAAGGATTTGCTTCCAGGGCAGGAACATCTACCCTGAGTTCAACTCCTGAGGAGATGACCATCAATATTAGCAAAGAGAAATATTTTGGGTGAAGGCTTCAAATCAGCAAAGGAACTGCAGAGGAGAGTGAAACAACTCTGTTAGCAACCCACTTGCTTTATCATGGTTATTTCCAGGGGATTAGCTGCACCTTAGGGCAGCGAGGAAGGAATTTCCATGGTGGAAAATATGAAGGGAGCCCACGTGTCATGGGAGGCAAAGGGGGCACGTCCAGCAGGGCAGTGCCAAGCAGCAGCTCCAGCTGGCCACGCTGGGCTGCCACCCACACAGCCCTGGCTGCAGGAGCACAAACACCAGGTGCCACTGGGATATTTATGGCTGGACGTGGCTCACCAGCCCCCAGAGCTCACCACCTCCCAGGATGGATCTTCTCAGCTTTTATTCACCCAGCAACTGCTTTCTCTTTCAGGTGAAATGAGCTGGGTTATTGTAACAGCTGGTATTTCATTATCTGCCTGTTTTGGGGGGTGCTGAAGGGAAGCAATCCCACAAGCAGCCAGCCCAGGATGATCACCTGGTCTCAGTCTTACCTCCTCACCAATAGAGATGCAGGCTTTGGAGTCCAGATCTCTGGGTGGCCTGAAAGAAAAGGGAAAAGATTTGAAATATTCCCTACAAAGATCAATTTTCCCTCAGTGAGTAAATCCAACCCCCAAGTCACCCCCTCACACCTTGAGGCCAGCAGCCCTGAGCACCCTCCTGGCTCTGCAGGATCAACAGATCCACAAAGTCACCCCAAAAAGGGCTCAGGAATTGGATTTCTCACACCCAGCTCGCCCCTGCAGGAACCCAGAGGGACTCACTGTGAAATCAAGGCAGGTGCCAAGCACCAAATCTCTGCCAGCCTGTATGAAAAATGGGCTAAAGGGGCAGGAACATCTAAACCTGCTATAAATCATCACCTCAGTCACACTGCACAGGTTAACAGGCTAAAAACACTCAATCCTCACCCAAGCAAAGAAGGCCAAGCAGGCTGGAGCTGCACAAAGTGCCTTAAAAACAGAGGGATTCCTTCTGCAAGGCTGAGCAGATGGGAAGGGGACGAGTTTTTATGCCTTGACCAAATGCCTGCTCCTCAAACTGGCAGCCCAAGTGCCACACCAGTCAAAACTGGGGGCTCATTCTGGTTTTTATCTTTTCCTGCATCTTTCAGCAGCACAGGAGACACAGATGGGCAGAAGGTGATGGGCCCAGACCCCCTGGAAAATGCAAGGGCTGGGAAATTATCCCAGAATCCCAGAATGTTTTGGATTGGAAAGGACCTTAAAGACCATTTCATTCCACTCCCTCCCACCTTCCACTACCCCAGGGTGCTCCAAGCTCCATCCAGCCCGGCCTTGGACACCTCCAGGCACCAGGCAAGGCTGGAAGGCAGCTGGGCTTCGTGGTTTGCTTTTCATTCTGCCTCAGTGTTTGCAGACTTACGTGGAGCTCGTCTGTGGCTGCTCAAAGGCTTCCTTAGGAATTTTCAGCCCAGGGTTTCTCTTCTTGCCTGCGAAACAAGAAAGAGGCAGAGTTGAAGAAAGGCACTTTTTTGTTGTTGTTATGATTTGTTTGGGGTTAATTTGTAAAACACAGCTTGTCTGTGTTTGCTGACCTTATTTAACAGAAATGCCCGTCCAGGCTGGTGGGGCAGACTCAGGGCACAGAGTTCAAACATAAAGTGCCTTTGTTCAGCAAGGTTTCATTTAAACCTGCGAGCTCTGGCTGCCAACTTGGTCCAGAAAACAGGCAAGAGCTCTGGCAAAGGCAGCCCATGAGAACATGCAAAGGGAGAGGTATTTCTCCTCCTACCCACGTAGGACCCCTTCAAACATTTCTCAGATTTAAAACCACTCCAGATACATAACTTCAAACCCTGGCAGGATGAAACATCTCCTTAAAATTGCATCTCAAAGTGCAGATTCTGATTCTGTTTAGCGGCACATTTCGTCTCCTGGTCATTAAAGTTATGCAAACCCAGCAAAAAATAAAGCAGAATTCCAAGTTTGCAGGCTTCAAAGCCATTTGTTTCTATTCACATGGACCAGCCAAGCTTTTCTGAGCTGGATGCAGCTCAAGATCTGAGGCAGCTCTGCTGCAGCTCTCCTGGAAAGGAGGTCCAAACCAGCAGCCACGAGAGCCAGGCAGAGCAGAGAAACACAAGAACCTTTTTATGACTGCACAGATCCAGCCCCATTTCAGCACGGGGGCTCGAATTCATGGAGAAAAGAAAAAAAAAATAGCCTGGAAACATCAGTCATGTCACCAAACCCCAAGGTAAACATCTGGCTGCTGGGCTGGGTAATAAAATCCCTGGTGCATCCACCCCCAAAAAAGGCACAAGCATCTAATTATCTAATTTAGCATTGAGCATTTTTAATCTAACATTTTATATCAATTATTCTTTATTTTAAGCGGGAGTTTTATTCTCTATTCCCAACCCTCTCTCTCAAAGTTCACCTATACATGTCTGAATTTGTTTTCCCTTTTCACACATCAATAGATGCCTGTGCATCCCAGTGCCAGAGGGGTGCTGGATCAAAGGGCAGACAAACCAGAATGGAAAATTACCTTTATGAATCAATTAATCAATTCAGATTAGCAATTTTTTTTAGAGTTTTAGTTTTCTGGATTTATTTGTTGTTGTTGTTGTTGTTGTTTTGTTTGAGGTTGTTTTAAAAGTTTTTTGTTTGGGTTTGGAGTTTTGTTTTGGGTTGGTTTGTTTGTTTTTTTTTAATTTTTAGTGATTTTTTTGTGGGTTTTTTAGTATTTTATTTCCTTGTCTGCTTCAAAAGATGGGATCATGCTCTCTCCTTTTGACAAAATCATTCCAGGATGGGGCAGGCTGCAAGAACACAGCAGACACCTCGTGGGAACAGCATTTATTGGAAACCCCTGTGCACACTCACTGCTGGTATTAGAAATCAACAGAGCTCTGAATGTACATAGGGAAGAAAAATTGGAAAAAAAACCCCAATTCTCTGCTCCCAGGAGCTCCCAAGCTCACACAGGAAAAGCAAAATAAAAGCAGAAAGGTCATGGAGAGCACAAAGAACAGCTCAGAGTTTTCCCAAAGAGCAAAAGCTGGTGTGTAAGGAAGCAAAAACGATTCTAACAACCAGTGGAGGAATTCCTACAGTGAGCAGAGCTGCTCTTTGACCCTTTTCCTTCCAGTTTTTCAGTTTTATCCATTTATTATCTTTCCAGTTGGATGCAGAAGGCGGGAGTGAGGAGCAAGCCCTGCTGTGCTGGATGCTCCATATTCCCTTTCCTGCCCAAGCTGTGCCAAGTGCACCTCAGACCTGTGGGATGTTAAACAGGGAGAGGTCTTCTGCATGTTGGCACATTATCCAAATAAAGGAATCTCAAAATTGCAGGTCTGCCAGTGCAGGCAAACAAAATCCCTGTTCCTCTGTTGTTTTCCAAGCTGCCATCACAGAGACCTCTCTGCCTCCTGTCTGCATCCTCAAGGAAACGAGACAGGCACAGGAAAAGCATCTTCAAACTGATTTTGCACGTGGAAAAACACAAAAATCCATCAAATTGCCTATGGAGGAACTGCTGCTTTTAGGGCTGAACTAAATCAGCCCTTCACTTTGCTGCAATCACACAGGCACAACCAAAATCAAACAAGAAACAGGCACAGATTCGCTCTGTTATTCCCTTTTTTTCATTTTATCCTTCGTGGATTTGCTTGCACCACCCCATGTGCTGTCCCTGAACCTGCTCTGAGAGGGAGAAAATGAGAAAATGAACCTACTGGAGATGATCTGAACTGGACCCAGAACAGGTTCAATCTTATCGTGGTTCACAAGCGGTGTCAGCAGAACCAGGGAGCAAAACACCAAACCCAAATAAACATTAAAAGCCTTTCCTCCCTGGGAAATAAAATCTGCACTTTGGGGAGTTTATTTTCCTTGTCTCTTCTTCACAGAACACAATATTTTGAAATTTTGCCATTTTTCTGAAGCACAATCTGTCCGTGCCTTCGAGCTGCCAAGGCACAGGCAGAATTTAACATTCTTTGGGGTTTTCTTTTCAAGAAAGCAGAAAGCAACAACAGGAGCTTGAATAATGGATTTCATGATGGCACCAGGAGGAGGGATGGGAAGTGGGAATTGCCATGGCCAGGACTTGCACTAGCAGCACCCAAAGGTGCTGATGTGCTGACTCTATGATTATTTCATGAATCCTGGGCTGAAATCAGGCGATTTCATGGCTTTTAACCGGATCAGGGCAAATTTCTGAGCTCCTTTTGTTCCAACATGCAAAGCACTTTATCCAAGCCTCTGGGGCCGATGTCTGTGCGTGGTGTGCAGGAAGGATCAGCAATCCTGAGCATGGCATGCTCTGAGAGCAGAAATGAGAAGCAGAGCCACCCCAGCAGGCTGCAGGAACCAGGATCCCCCTCCACCCCAATCCCCAGCTCCAGAACTCAACAGTCCAGCTCACACACGACTGACTTTCTCCCCAAACACAAACTTGAAAGGCTTTTTTTATTTTTTTTTTTAAAGGAAAAGAATAATTGGAAGTCTCCAGATCAGTTCTGTTCAACAGGAACTGCCAAGCAAGTGTCTCGCTGTCAAAATAAAATCCCCCAGTTTGCCACAGCAGACGTCGGCTTGGGGAGATGATGCCGTATTAAAATCATCTGCACAGGAGCTCCAAATGTGGGGGCAGTTTAATAACACACAAAATTGGATGGTACCTGCTCCATCCACCAGAAAAACCAGTATTTTCCACGGTGTTTTTATGAACCATTACTATTTTTAGCTTTGTTTCCTGGACAAAACCACGGCGTGTTTATCTGCCGGTCTGTGTCGCTTGCGGCAAGTGCAAAGCCACGGGCCCCTTCCAGCCCCATCTGACAGGGAAACTGAGCTTTGGGAGATTGCAAATCTGAGAAAAGCAGGTGATTCAATAAAGGAGTCCCCAGCTCAGGGACTGAAACACAGCAGCCACCCATGGCAGGCTGCCTCAGACACCAAAATCACAGCACAAGGCTCCATCCTGAGGCACAAACCACCAGTTTTGTGGTGGCACAAAAACCCAGCAGAGGGTTTTTACTGCAATCCCTTGGGATTTGCAGTAAGGAAAGGCCCAGTGAACCACCACACGCAGCACAAAGTCTAAATGTGGCTCCTCCTGCAGAAGGCTCTGCTGGTGGCTCAGCAGATGGGATCGTACATCTGCTCCCCAGCACCCAAAAAGACGTGAATTTTCTGTGTAAACAACCCCTGGAGCCTTGCTGCTCCCTGAACCTTCGAGCTAAAGCTCATTTGAGAGCTCTCCCTGCAATCTGGCACACGGAGAAATCCACAAGCATTTGACTCAAAAAACTAGTTTTAAGAATAATTGAGGGGGAAAAAAACCGAGCCTGGTTTGGAGTGATGCTGGGAGACATGTCCAGAAGCCAGCTTTGATAAGCAAAACGTGCAGGGTATTTGTGACATTAAGCAGAAGCTTAAATCTGCTTTCTTTTGGCCAAAAAAATGACCCACAGTGAATACTGAACCGAGTGGTGCTGAAGAAGGTGCCACCTGTACAAAGCCTTTCCTGCAAGTGCACTGCTCAAGGCAGCGGTTCCACCTCAGGATGAGAGGAAACAGCCTCAAATTGTGCCTGGGGAAGTTTAGATTAGAAATTAGGAGGAATTTCTTCACCAAAAGGGTGGTCAGGCATTGGAAGAGGCTGCCCAGGGCAGTGGTGGGATCACCATTCCTGAAGTGCTCGAGGTGTGACAAGTGGGGACACGGTGGTGGGCTTGGAAGTGCTGGGTTTGCATCCCATGAGCTTGGAGAGCTCTTCCATCCTTGATGACTCCCTGATTTTCTGGTTCTAATGCCAGCAGCTGGCTGCAGCATCACTTGAACCTGCCCCAGCACCGACCCCGACTGCTCCTGCAGAGCCTGGACCAGCCCAGCCAGCCCCGAGAAACAAACGAAGCCTGAGAGCAAAACTGGAACAGGAAAAAGAAACCCTGACTTAATGAAAGCACATTAAATACTTCCCTGTGAAGATCTTAAACCCAATTCCTGAGGGAGAGGAGAAAAACACACTTCCAAGGGGCTCGTTAAGCTCTTCCCACCAGCACTGACAGAGCCCAGGGATGGATGTTGTTAACTCCCAGCAATTAGGGCATTGTTAAATATCAATATTGAAAAGGAAACTTCAGCGTTTCACTGTGAAAAGAACAGAGAATAACAAAGAAAGGGAAGACAGAGGAATTTGCTGCCCACATGGGCTGTAACAGAAAATCAACTTCTGAAGGAAAATCCCATTCCCCACTCTCCAGACTTTTCACTGCAGTCAAAAACTTTTTATGATATAATCCAAAATAAATGGTTCCTTGCCACAAAAAGCTCCTATTTCCTTCAAAGGATATTAACTAGTTCTGTCTTCACCACAATTTATTATTAAAAATATGTCCAATGGCCATGTAGCAACATTTCCTTCCAAACAACACTCTCAAGCATATAACTCACTGGTAAAATTTCACGGGCAGGAAAC